GTGAGAGTGAGTGTACTGGCTTATTCAAAAAGCCAACAGAACTACCTCTGTGTATATAAGTTGCATGGACGAGGAGGGGACTTTAAGACTCTCTGTATTCTTATCTCTCTAGCTCTCTTACTTTGAGCGTGCTGCAGATTAATGGACACCCATCCATGTCCGCCAAATGGTGACAAAGAAAAGAAAGAAAACATGGATAAAAGAAAACAGGAGCTGCAAACAATAATTGAGAAGCAGGATGATCAAGTAAATCAACTTCAAACGAGCGCCTTCAACCTTGCAAACTACTACTTCGTCTTTCAAGGACTTATTTTGGGGCCTATCGTCACTGCCACCACAGCGCTCAGATGCTCAGATCGCTGGTTCCTTTTCAGCCTCTCTCTAATTGCAGCCATACTCAACTTGGTTTCATTGCTTGTAATTGGAGGCAATTATAAAAGAAGCGTCATGCAGAGACACCAAACCAAGATTGAGCGAAATAAATTGGAAAGTGATCTGGTGAAGCTAGAAACTTCACCTTCAGATCATGGGCTCAAAAGTGACATACTATCGTACTGGACTTCAACGAAAACAGAAGCTTCAGGGCAGGTTGCTTCTCAAGATCTTGCAACTGTAGAAATTAAGGATGAACCGGAACAAAGGCAGATCCGCAAGGGGGTTGTGCCGGTTGATAATCAACACAAACAGCTGCGTGATTTCTACTTTCTACTGTGCATGGCTCTCTTTGTATGCTTTTCCGTCATAGTGATTGTGGGTTGCTGGACCATTCCTTGCAAGAAAGCTCTTCAATGCGTACCCCCCATATCCAGCAATGACAACTGCATTAGGGTTTGTGAAGGTGGCAAGTGTATGAGCATGTGCACCGAATACTAGAGCCTTCAACAGTTCTAGCTTTGAGCTATCTAGCGTTATCCAAGTAGATTGATTGGTATCTTAATTAATAAAGTTTACGTTGAAATCGGTGTTTTCTTCTCATATAATATAATAAATTTACAATATTTTCATGCTGGTGATTTAATCTGAAATGGTTTATATAATCTTCGACAGTTTCAGCTTAGCACAATCTAACCATGAGAGTTGAAAAGATCTTTGTGGTCTATATTATCCAACCCAGCCACCTGTCATCTTCGTGGTCTTGGATTTAACGTTAAGTCCTTCTATTGTCTTGGATTTATTTTCAAGTTGTGCTGCCACTCAACTCAATCTCAATATTATTATTTACGCAAATATTTACGTTTGGTGTTTGCAATTGCATGTGCTTCAGGCCATCTGTTTTGTGAGAGAAGGCAACATCCCAAGACTTTCTTCCTTAATGGACCTGTATCGTCTGCGGACTGATTTTTTTACGAGAATGCACCTCATTTTAATCACAAAATTAGTCAAATTACAAAATATTTAATCTTCTAACACAAGATTACAATATCTTTTTTAGATTGCATAATGGACCGGGCGGTTCAATTATTTGGAGCCCATTACATAAATATTTTACACCAGCTGGCCCATAATCTAAGACGGCTAGTCTTGTACTTGGAACCGTGTGCACCCAAATTGCAATTGGGAAATAATAAAGTGTTATTTTCTAAACAATTTTTATTTCCAGACAACCAATACAAGAATTCCTCTCTTTCGTCAAACTTCCACTTTTTCTAAACTTCGTTTGTAGTATTGGGATGTATAACTGATAAAATGGATTTTATTGTGTATCTTGTAGAATAAGGTGCAGTGAGTGTAAGTAAGTGTATTGGCTTATTAAAAAGCCAACAGCATCTCTATATCCAAGTAGATTGGTATCACAATAAAGCTTATGAAATATTTCTACTTACTACTTTAACTCAAGATGTATATTTATTATTCTTCTTAATATTTGACACGTGTTTATAGATATAACAATAGTTAACTTTTTTACTTTGATTTATGTAACCATAGTTATGCTCATAGACACGTGTTAAGTGTTGAAAAGGGTGGTGAACATATACTTTATGTTAAAGTGGTGAACAAAAATACTCCCATAAAGCTTATGTTCAACTTATGTTTTCTTCTCATAGATTAGTACCGCATAATAAGCCTACCATATTTTCATGCTCATTAATTTATATATATATATATATGTATATATATATATATATAAAGCAAAAGGCAGAGAATGGTAAAACATTCAAAATACCAGAAAAAATGTCCTCGGTTAATGCAAACATTAAGAATTGAAATTATTAATTAAATGAGGATAATATAGTAAATTCACATTTTTCATATTAAAAAATATTAAAAATAAAAAAAATTCAGGCAATGGATCCTATTTTTATGGAACACAACTAAGCCTTATCTTCTTTAATTCTAAAATAAAATTAATTTTTTTTATAAAAAAAAGCCTATTGCAGGAGCGAAATCACGTGTGGAGAGGCTAGTATCTATAATGGCTTTTGACAAAAATAAAATATTATATATATATTTAATGGTATGTGTGATTTCATAAATAAGAAATAATAAATGCAACCTTTTGGTTGTTTAGGCCTCATAAAAGATAAGATTTCATACATTGAGTACAGAAAATAAAGAGTTTTTCTATTTAAACCATGCACTTCTCTTTGTTCACCCCATATCTAAGTTAACCCCAATTTCTAATTCAAATTTTCTCAATCTATAAGAAAACCCCACTATCTTTCCAAACTGAATAATGCTACTCTTACCACATTTGTATACCACTTCTTTATACCATCTTATGTGGCCGCTAAGGTGAACAGCCACATCAATTAAAATTATTTAATATTTTCATTTCTTTTATGATTTATTCCCGTATTTGTTTTTCTAATTGCCTTAATTAAAATACACTCTATTGATTTAATTGATGTGACATATATTATAGACATGCCACATCATGTGGTATAGAAATGTGGGATAAAAATGTAGTAAGTGTAGCATTACTATTCCAAACTACTCCTAGATACACACCCAACAGAAGAAAAAAAATGTAAATAAAAAACTCATTAATCCCACACCTCACACCCCGCTATCTCACCCATCACCACTCTAAGTTCATCTCAACCTTGGAATTACAGCAAATCTTTAATCACAACATCCCCAATAATTCTAGGAGGAGTCCCAAACCAAGAAATAATCTCACATTACATATCTCAATTGATGACCCACAAGCCACTATTTGCATACTGTATTTAGGGTTTATAAAGAGAAGATGAGAGTGTAGTAGGTTTCTTGTATTGAAAGAGAAGAGTAACTTGATAGTATGATGTAGAGGAGTTTGTGTTTTTCTAAAATTTAATATGAAGAGTTGTGAGGTGTGTGTATAGATGTATTAGGTTTAAGTATAAATTAAAGTTAAATGACTTTTTTTGTCTTTTTGCACAATAATAAAACTTAGAGCTTAATGATTTAAGTATTGAGGTGAACAAAGAAAAGTGTGGTGTTTAAATTGAAAAACTCAAAATAAAATAGCATAAACATTATAAAGTTATAATCTTCAAGGCTGAGTTTTTTTGGCATCTTCACAATAGCATAATCTAACAAAGAAATAACTACTAGAGTAATTTACACTAATATCCCTTGAGTTTTTTTACATTTTTACAATACCCTAAAGGTTTTAAAAATTACTCAAACACCCCCTAAGATCTTAAATTATTTTCATAAAACCCATTTTCTTCAAATTCCTTATAATAATAAAAATTGTTGATTTGATAATAAGAAAATATGAAAATGAAAAATCTGCCCTTAAATTTATAACTAAAATAAAATAAGTAAACCACCAGCACACATACTTCCCCCATCTCCGCCTTTGGAAAAACACCCCACTCGCTCCGCCCATGGTTCCAACCATGACCTTTCTCTTTATCTTCTCTCTCTCATTCACTCTCTCTAGAGTAAAATACCCTTAATATGTTGTAAGGGGACTGGTTAGTCAGTTGGTGGGGTGGGTCTCACAAGGCTACGTCAACAGTTAATGGTTGACCACACGGTCAATTTAACGGAAGGATTAAATTGGACAAGTTTGAAAATATTGGGGTATAAATTAATAAAATTGAAACCCTAAGGTCAATATTGAGAATAACCCCAAACCTTTAGGGCGTCTATTATCGTTAGCCCTATAAACAAAAAGGAACATTGACACCACTTCTTTAGTTGGGTCTGCCTCTATTAGATCATTAATGATCACATATCTAATACAGATAGGTCTTACATACATTAGTTGGGTATGCTATATTAGAGAGATTGCCATCAAAATAGTCAATACATGTGATTGTTTTCCACCCTTACCCTTCTTAATTAGGGCAAAAAAAACAAAGCGGAATAAAAGGGCCAGTTGAAATAATTAGCATTACTTTTGCATGCGAATTAGTGGATGAATTGGACACCTCCCACTTGTAGAGTAGAGAACGACGAAAGTGAAAACTTCCAGAGAACTTATATGCCGTACGTTCCCACTTGTGAAGTTGCGAACCACAGAAAATACAGTCTCCACGCGCTTGCCCTTTCTCTCTTCCTTAATGGACCCGTATCCTTGGCGACTGAATTTTTACGAGAAGAATCACAAAACGAGTCAAATTAGACAACATTTAGAGATGCATGTCACAGCGGAAGATGGAAGAAAGATGCTGAAATATTCTCAAAATTAAGGAAATATTGTCTTGCTCCAATTTTCAAATATCCAATTATTTGGTATTTGGTTGGATATTTGGTGTTTATTCAAAACGACCCTACCTTGTATTTGCGGTACGAAATAAAAGAAGAAAAAGCAATTCCAACAAGAATTTTATTTATTTATAAAAAAATGGATAATTTAATAGAGCTCTTACTATTCGTTAAAGGAAGAAGGAAAGCTGCAAACAAAAATTTGTGTGGTTTTTTTTTTTTTTCTTTTCCCTGTAATCTTATTTTATATTTAATTTTTTAAATATGTAAATGACAATATTGCCATTTAACTGTGAAAGGATGTTATAAACAAATTAATGTAGATTCATGGATGACCACATTCACAGTCACTGACACACAGATACAAAGTTTAACGAACAAAGTCGCACTGTGAACTACGAAGTCAATCCCCATTATATTTGAAGCATAACCACCTTTGGAGAGGGATTTTTTTTTCTTTCCTCTCCTGTGCATCAGTGTTTTTGTCTGAGCGCCTGACAAAACCAAAGGGTGGAGGGTAAGACTCGAATTTCATCGTAATGGGTTCATGGATGTCTAGGGTTACAGAGATTGAAAACACGACAGACCAGACTCTGGAACTGAGAGAATGTCCGGAAGGGGATCCAGAAGGGAAAGGAAGTGAACCAATTCTGCTTCATCCGCACAAGTCCAAGTGTATCCCTGCAACTAAATTCTGTCAACACAGCCACGATGCCGCTAGACCACGGCACTTAATTCTGGTTTCCTCCAACGGGGGTGGAGGGAATCCTGAGACCTTCGCCACAACTGATTTCATCACCTTCGAAAAGTTCGTTATCTTTCCTAGAGAAAACGGGAACATCAGGGTCCAGACATCCCGTACTAAAGGGACCGGATTCCGAAGAATCAAGTAATTGAACTCTCTCACTCGTAACTCTTTCGATTACTGATAAAATTGCGTGTTGAACTTTTTAACTGATATAGGTTACTTAACACACACACACACAAATATATATAGGTTGGTCAAATGCTTAATCAGTTTCATTCAGCTACCATGAACAAGCAGATACGAGAACCTTGCAGGTAACCTTGAGTTTAATATTTATTCTTCTTTAACGTTGAGATTTTCGTTTAATTTTTGTTATGCTTTAGACATTCATTTTTTATTTTTCTTGCTATAGCTCCATAGTTCATGCCCATTTATGTGTATACATGGTAATTATTTTTTACCTACAGAGTTTTAAATACATCTAAATTCAATGCAGGCTGTGACAGAGACAACTTTGTAAAAACAGTAACATTCTCTTTCAAGGGCGATATATACCATACCTTATGAAGAAATAAGAATATGTTGTGTTGTTAAAGGATGAAGAACCCAACTGTAGAAACTTAGAGTTTGTTTGGGAGTGATTTTATAATGGCTATAATTACTTATAGACATAAGCACCTCCCGCACGCTTCTCCATATAATATCTTTAAGTGATTTTAATTAAGCCATTTTCGGGAGAAACACCTCCAATGTGTCTCTCTATAAAATCACTTAAAATTAAAACCACGTAAAGTGATTATATGAAGAAGTGGTTCTCTATAAAAGTGATTATTAGCTTATCCAAAATCACTTCCAAAAAATTCATATTGTACATAATGTAACGAATAAGCAATGAATATTGTATATATAAACTTTTAAGAAGTTGCATTACTCATGCTGTACATAATGTATATATAAACTTTAAATTATTTATGTCCATTACAGCATATTGCATATATTACTTAACACAAGTAGTATTAAGTAATGCACCTACATAACAAACGATCATAATACACCTGCTAAACACGAATGCCCCTAATTTATCTATCTAATTTGTAGGTGTACTTAGATTAATTTACCTATTTCTCAACCCAAAAAAAAATTAATTTACCTACACTTGTACATATTGTTTACCTATATTTTGTAGCAAGACTGGGCTAAAAGCACGATCTAAAGAGCACAAAAATGATATTCATGTCCTTTTGAAAATACATTTGACATATGTGGCCTATAGAGGACAAATACTGAAATTGTGTCCCTTTAAGTAACCTATAGAGCATGAATACTTTAAATTGTGAGAATGTGAAGGTAAAGAGTCCCACATTGGAAAGTTAAGAAACCTAGCAAGGGCTTATAAGGAGTTGGGCTATTCCCCCCATTGCCAATTGGTTTTGGGGTGGAACCTCAACTTCCTTAATAGTATCAGAACGGGTTGCTCACGTGTGAAAGCCCAACGGCCACACGTGCTCCATGTCACCCAAAATGTATTGTCCACGTGTTAGGCTTGAAAATTCGCCACACGTGCGGGGGCGTGTGAGAATGTGAAGGTAAAAAGTCTCACATTGGGAAGTTGTGAAACCTAGCAAGGCCTTATAAGGAGTTGGACTATTCCTCTCATTGTTAATTGACTTTTGGGTGGAACCTCAACTTTCTTCATAAATTATGTCTAGAATAGTTTTAAAAAAATTCATAAAAAATATTAAAAAAATAATTTTAAAAAGGCGCCTACCTTCCTTGTAGAACTTCTCTCCAAATATCTCATTGAAAATGAATATATTAAAGATAAGCATCCCAACAACACGCACGCCTCTTTCATTGAGAAAAACACATGCCTCTCTCTTGTCTTTTCATCTTTCTATTTTCCATTCTTTTTTGTTTTTATTTTCTCCCTCACTGTTTTTTTTTATTCTTTTCTTTTTCCTTCTTCTTCTTCCTTTCTCTGTCTTTACATTACAGTTTTTTGAAACACATTTGACGTTGAAATCCTCTCACTCTTCGAAACCTTTATCCGGATATTGAGTGTGCCTAAATTCTTGGTGAGTATGCTGCATTTCCTACTGCCATTGCCACTGCAACTGCTATTTCTTTGAGAATTTTGTTCTGCTCCTCAATTAAATTTGGTTTTATTTGATTTCTTGTAATTTTTGGGCATTTTGGATTTTCTTCACTGAATCCGATTGTATGCAATTTTGAAATGGGAAGATGAAGATGTCGAGAATTGAAAGAAGAAGAAAGCATATGGAGACTGGAAGATGCTATTGTCAGGAGGAACTTTTGTAAATCTGTAAAATACGTATACTCATAGTTGTACAAAGAATTATTGTAACAAAATTTATTTGTTTTTGGTATTTGAGTTTTTAAAATTTTTTAAAATTTTTAATTATAAAAGTTTGCATTTTTAGCCACAGTTATTTGTGTCCATATTGAATAAAATATATTATTTTAATATTCTCCAGGAGCTGCTGATAAAGAGGTAGAGTATAGGTGGGGCACAGCTATCTATACTAATTCGTAGATATACTAATTTACCTACATACTTGTACATATTAATTTATCAGCACTTAAACAGATTATTAATTTACCTATACTAATTCATAAGTATACTAATTTATAAATATCATACTAAATTTACCTATATTTTGCAGGTACACTAATTTACTTAGATTACGCTTGCACAGATTGTTTACCTATATTTGTAGATATGCTAAATACAAAATATATGAATGCTATTATTTTTTTTCTGTTGTCATATATATGAATGCTATTATACACATATGGATCCCCAAAAAAAAAAAACCCATAATATATTGTAATTAGGAATTTTGGTCTTTCTTTTTATAATTTTTTTTTTTAACAACTTACCCTTTGTATAGTTATATTGTAATTAGGATTTCTTTCGTTGTGTAATTATTTTAGAATTTACCACATTGTACATCTTTATAAATACCTCCATATTAAAAATAATATATCAGCAAATTATCATATACTTTGTTTGGCACAAAAGACAACCATCGCTGCTCAAAATTGCGGGTGACTTAAAGTCCATTTACATATAAAGTTAGTTATTCTCTGCTCCTTAGTATGTCCGGGCGTCATCCTATTATTCGTATGTATTATAAGTTGGCAAATGCCCAGTGCTACCCAATAATTTCCCCAAGTTTGGAATTGGACAATTTATGGAAATAAGGATTCCTATGGGTCAGAATAATATAGTTGATTGGATTCATTCTAAATGATCGAGGTCTCCTTCTTTGTGTATCTATATATATATATATAGTTATTCTCTCTCTGTAATGTCCAAACGTCCGTATAGAAGAATTTCTCTGTGTATGCATATCATTGTTTGTTGGCAAATTTGGTACCAGAAAAGTAGATTTGTTTTTCAACAAATTCTTCCGTTAGTTTTTTTTTAAATCAAGATTACATAGACTTATTCTATCCTAAAAATGTTGGAAATAGCCCCCGTATTTTCCCTACTGAATTGCAGCCCAATGGCTACGATTGGAAAGCCATGTGTAAGCAAACTTTGGCCCAGAATTGTTTAAAAAACTACAAGAATTACCTTTATTCAAGGTGCGCTTATGGAGAGGCGAATATAGTTGCATTGCAGATGAACTTGCAAAGGAAGGACACAACCAAACTAATCCTCATCATATATGATTTTCTAATTGGCCTTCTTATATGTAGAACCTAAAGTTATGTATGTATAATTGAAAGGAATGAACACAGAGTTGTCGAAAATAGAACAATGGACAACAATTATAACGCTAGTTTTCGTAGCAAATTACAGTAAAAGAATTTCAGAGCAACACCCGGCACCCTAAATACAGTACTCAAACGCTGTCTTTAAAGACAATCAGGAAAATGAGTTACCTGAGCCGCCAACCAAATACAGGTCCTCTTTTGGTCACCTGCCCATCCAACTGGTTTTGGTGAAAAATTTGTCAGAAGAGTTTATGGACAAATAAGTGGACGAGAGAAAGAGAATGAAAAGTCTTGTCTCGTGTTTGATTTGTTTGAAGCTGCCAAATCCTGCCTTGCAAGAAAAGATTCTACGTCTTCAGAAACCAGTCCTTCTCTCTGTGGACGCTATTAGATTTTGAGTTGATAACATAGGCATATGTGGCTGTTTCTTATTGGGTTGTCACACCAAATCAGTCATCTGACCTGGCATCATGCTATGTTTAAATATTCGAGTTGGAACACTAAAAATCAGGAGAAGATTATTCTGCATCCGTGACAGGGAGGGAGGTTTTGGACAAAATAAATATACAAATTTATAAATAAACTCAATCCTAGACATGTATTTATAGAAAAACTCAAGCACTATTTAAACATAGAAACACACCCAAAATCAACCCCAAAGTCAACTTTTTGGGTGTGTTTATAAATGGATTTTGAGTGTGTGTAATGATGGATTTTGGGTGTGTTTATATGTTTAAATAGTGCTTGGATTTTTTTATAATTTAAGCCCCCATTTTGGGTGTTTTAGTGAAACTCCCAAATAAATAAGGTGTTGTTATTTTCACCTTCATGACTTCTAAGGAACTTACGAAAATAACTAAACTCACGTAATCCACTTATTGCACTGTTTGGAAAAAAAAAAACAAAAAGAACTAGCCCAATGGCTCACATTTTTCTCATATGAGACCAAAAAACTAAAAGATCCAGAAAATCAAAATATTAGAATATCGTTTGTATAAAAAAATAAAAATAAAAAAGTTGTTGCCAATGCCATGCAGTCCCATATATATGTTTCTTAGAAGGAGGATTTTATTGGAATCTATCTTTATATATATAGTAGTAAAGGAGGAGGTTGCTCTACACTTTGCATATTCTTATAAATCTTTAGCTCTTTTAGTGTGAGTGCATTATCCACTTCTGTGCGTGTGCTGCATAGTGATGGCTAACAATCCCTGTCCAACAAATGTGGAGAAAGAAAATATAGAGAAAAGAAAAGAGGAGCTACGAACTATATTTGAGAACCAGAGTGATCGTGTAAAGCATCTTCAAAAGAGTGCCTTCACCCTTGCAAACTACTACTTCGTTTTTCAAGGAGTTATTTTGGGGGGCATTGCCAATGTTAGATGCTCAGATCGTTGGTTCTTTTTCAGTCTCTCTCTAATAGCGGCCATACTCAATCTGTTTTCATTGATTGTAGTTGGAGGGAGTTATAAAAGAAGCCTCATGCATAGAGACAATACCATCCGGGAACGCGATCAATTGCAAAGTACTCAGGCCAAGCAAAATTATTCGCATAATTCAGACCGAAGATCAGAGAATTCACCAAAAATACAAGTTTCTGAATGTGAACCAAGTCCTTCAGCGCCAACACAACATCAAGAGGCTGCTTCCCAAGATCCTAGAAGCCTACAACCAGCTTCTGAACTGAGACCAACTACTTCAGTGCCAAGACAACATCAACAGGTTGCTTCTCAAGATCCTGAAAGCGCTTGGTCCGCTCATGTTGATAAATATAAAAAAATTCTACGTGCTATCTACTTCCAAATTTGCATTGGTCTCTTTGTAAGCTTTGCCATCATCGTGCTTGTGGGTTGCTGGACCATTCCCTGTAGGGAAGCTCACCATGGCAAGCACCCCAGTGACAAGTGCATTAGGCTTTGTGAAGGCACCGGGTGTATAAGCATCTGCACCCAATACTAGGGCTTCTTCAGTAGTGAAGTGTACGTTGATCAACAATAAATTCTAGGTTTCACACTCCACTTATCAATGCCACTACAGTTGGAGTTCGTGCTAGTCAATTGCAATGTTTTGTATGATTTTGTGCGTATAACGATTTACCAATAAAACCAACTCTAAGGAACATGCTATATGTGTGGCAATTTAAACACATCAGTTAGAGCTGCTTTAAGAATACATGTGACTTTTCTAAGTGTTATTTCTTAACATTCCTAAAATATATAACATAGTAGTGTTAATTCAAATATTATTTATATTATCGCGTATCATCAAATATAAGAAAAAATATTAATAGTCAAGTGACACATGCTGATGTGCTAAAGACATTAATGTCTAATAGCTAATAAACATGATTATTTGCAATTAGATACTAATATTGCCTTTAGCCACCCATGCTTAAGGTCTCTCGACACAAATTTTTCTTTGTCTTGACCCAAGCACGCATCACATCATGCAACTCAATGCCATGCATTAAATAAAGACCACATAAAGTATAAGATTCTGATGAATTAAATAAAGACCACATAAAGTATAAGATTGTGATGAATTTAGGCCCTTAGTACATGAATGACAAAAAAAAAAAAAAAACACCTTATAATCTTCAAGCTAAGACAATTTCGACCTAGCAAAATCAAACAAGACTACATAACTATATGCCTCAGTTTGGATTATTTAAAAGAATGAATTTGGATTTGACAGCAAAGTTAAATTTGCTTTAAAAAAATTAAAAAATATTAAATTGTACGAATTTAAAAGATATTAGAATGGATTTGAAATGACTATGTAAGTAGTCATTTAAAATCCATTTATTTTCTTGGTTTCTTTTTTATTCATATCTTGACATTCAAAGATTGCAGTGGTTTAATTAAATAAATAATTTCACCTTAATTATGATGTCATCTAAATCTCTAGATTTAAAATCACTTCATCAGAATGGAGCCGGACATGGCCATAATTATTTACCAAACGAAGTAAAAAAACACTGAGGGAGATAAACGGGCCAATTGACTTGGAATATTCGTCTTGGTCTTTGTTCCTGGCTTCGCTGTCTTTCTTTTCTTCTTCTTTTTTCCATCGATAGTACTGTTCGATAATTAACGTTTGTTTTGTCTTGCCAATTGAAATTTGAATGGATGGCACAGACAGCTCCGACTTGTAGAGATTGAAAGCAATTGAACGCAGAGAAGG